TCCCTTTACAGTATATCAAACTATACTACAGAGCTACTATAATTAAAACAGCCTGGTCTTACTAGAGAAACAGACATATAGATTAATAGAACAGTACAGAGATCCCCAGAAATAGATCCATGCCACTATGGTCAATTAATATTTGACAAAGGAGGGAAAAGCATACAATGCAGCCAAGACAGTCTGTTCAATAAATGGTGTTGGAAAAACTGGACAGGTAACTGCAAAGAAAATGAAATAGATCACCAACTTACTCTATACACAAGAATAAATTCAAAATGGATAAAAAACTTCAATGTGTCTCCAAACCATAAAAATCCTGGAAGAATACACAGGCAGTAAAGTAACAGACATTTCATGTAGTGGAATTTCACTGATACATATCCTAGGGCAAAAGGCACAAAGAAAAAAAATAAATAAATGGAATTACATCATGCTAAAAATCTGCACAGAAAAAGAAATGAGCATCAAAATGCAAAGGAACCCCATGGTATGGAAGAACACATTGCCAAGGATTCACCTGATAAGGTGCTAATTTCCAAAATGTACAAAGAACTCATAAAACTAAGCAAAAGAAAGACCCAAATAAATAAAATCAGAAATGAAAGAGGCAATATAACAACTGACCCAACAGACAAACTAAGGATTGTAAGAAAATATTATGAGCAACAATGTGCCAACAAATTGAACAACATGGGGGAAATGGACAAATTCATAGAAGCATACAACCTTCCAAAGCTGAATCAAGAAGAGGCAGAAAACCTGAATAGGCCATTCACAACTAATGAAATTGAAGGAGGAATCCAAAAACTCCCAGCAACCAAAAGTCCTGGACCAGAGGGATTTACAGGCAAGTTTTACCAAACATTCAAAGAAGAATTAAAACCTATTCTATTCAAACTATTCCAGAAAATTCAAGAGAAGAGAAAACTCTCAAACCCTTTTTATGAGGTCAGCATCATCCTAATCCCAAAACCAGATAACGATACTACAAAGAAAGAAAATTACAGGCC